TTAGGTAAGTGTTCTAAATAAATTAGAAAATAAAATAATTATTAAAACGATAAGTATTCTAAAATATATTAGAAAATAAATACGGTACGGTAAGTAAATGATACCATTTAAATAAAAAAATAAAATAGAAAACTACAAAATAATACTATCAATTAATACTACAATTTACAAGCATGGTAACGTGTAAAAATGGTAAGTGTTATAAAATAAATTAAAAAATAAATATGGTACATTAAGCAAATGGTACCATTTAAATGCAAAAATTAAAAAATTATAAATTAATACTATTAATATTATAAGCATGGAAACATGTAACAATGGTATAAGTATTCCAAAATAAATACTATTAATACTATAATTTACAAGCATGGATACGTGTAAAAATGGTAAGTGATCTAAAATAAAATAGAAAATAAATACCATAGGGTAAGTTAATGGTACCACTTAAATACGAAAATAAAATTAAAAAAATACAAATTCCAAAATAAATACATTAATATGTTGAATTAGTACTTAGATAAGTAAAATTATTGAATTATTATCAAGAACAATATCTAAAACATATTGAATTATTGTTACGGAAACTGGTATTTAGTCATGAGAAAGTGTATGTTGCAGTTTAAAGAGTAATAAATCGCAATGGCTTGAAGATTCTGATATACATCGAAGTGAATGCTCACACAAATTATACATACGAGTGATGTAGTTTATAAAGAAGTCTTTCGAAATTTGTAAATCATTTTACTTTTGTACTTTAAAATAATGAAATATCTATATTCCATTATATACCAATTTATATTCCTAAAAATGATCTTAAGTTAGTACCGTAATTATGACCCGTGCAACGCACGGGTGTGATACTAGTAATAGAAGAGAGAAAAGAGAAAAAATAGGAAGAGAATGTGTTAAAAAATAGAGATTAGATGATTTAAATAGAAGAGAGAAGAAGGTGGGGCGAGGGGGTGTTAAAATTTAAAATTCGAACTTTGAATTTTGATTAAAATTTAAATTTTGATGTTTTTTAATATTGAAACAACCGTTGGGGGGAGGGGGGGAACAAAAAATTCACATAATTTGCCAAATATGAAAAGTAATGGATTCAAATAATTAGAAATAAGAATTAAAATATCCAAATGGTAAGTTTGTGCATTTTGTGAAGATTTTGTTTGTGACTGGCATTATTCAAAAAAGAAAGGAAAGTAGAGCATCTCTTGTTTTGTAGAATTACTTTTGTTTTTTTGTGTGTTTTCATTGAGTATTTGATAAAATAAAATGTTCTTGTCTCTTTACGTTTTGTAGATCTTTTGACGTAATTTTTTAATATGTAACTTTTATTTGTTATTGATGTACGAATTTGTCAAAAAAATAATTTCAAAAGGCGGGAGATTTTGCTTCGTAACTCTCAATTTGTAATCAAATTAGGAACGGAAGGAGTATAAAATAGGCTAAAATAAACCCCAAATTTTTGCTTAATTTGATGAAATAAATAGTGCTTTATCATTTAGTATATTAAAAAATGAATCATTTTGAATGCCAATTATATCTTATATGCAACCATATTTACTTTCATGTAGTGAATATTATATAACTCGTAAATGTTCATACACTAATTTTATGATGTGCGTGTTCTTAATATGTGAAAAGGTGCAATTTTCTACTCCATCCGTCCCAAAAAGTCATTCCTGTTTCATTTTTTGCGCATCCCATAAAACACTTCTATTGACATCTAAAATGTCTAAAATTTATAACATTTCTTCTTTATAGTGGGTAGAAGTTATTTTGAAAGTGTTTTTGACATTCAAGGCGGGATAGAAGTATTTTATTGGATGCGCAAAAAATGAAACAGGAAAGACTTTTTGGGACGGAGGGAGTACCATTTTATTTTCAAAAAATTACTGCAGGGTAACTCGATTTTCTGGTAATGACTCCCAGATCCCACATTATCTGAAAAATACTCCCGGGTACCCTCAATTTTCTGGTAAGAACTCTCAGATCCCACATTATTTGAAATATACTACGGGGTCCTTAAAATTAGTGGTAATGTACTATTTGGTAATATTCTGTCTATTTAGTACTCCCTCCGTCCCCATGTATTTGTCCACATTTGACTTTTGGAACTGTTTATCTAAGCACTTTGATTCATCAAATTCTCTCAATGTGTAAGCCTAAATCTAGTCATGTGTGATCTTGTTTGATTTGTCTTAACATATAGATTATTAATATATAATTTTTATAATTTTTTAATATACAAATTACAAGATAAAATGGATTAAAGAAGTGCATTGGATGGTGTGTAAAAATGAAAGTGGACGAATACATGGGGACGGAGAGAGTATTAAATTTAATCTAAAATCGATTGAATTTAATCTTTTAATTTACTTCAATCTAATATAGTGATTCATACTCCACCCTGTTGGGGAAATTAATGATAACTTGGATGAATCGAGAGTTGTGTAAACACTTTCAGATTGAATATTTTGGTTGTTCACTCCAAAATTCAATCGGATAAAACTCGAAAGTATCAAGAACGAAATATTAGAATTGCTGTGTCTAAAACCGAACGAAATTCGACCATGCCCAGGGGGATTTTATAGACTAGGGGTGAGAAGGAGAAGACACCATTCGCGGCTATTACCCAAAGCACGCAACTCTTCGTGCGGAAGTTTCTTTTTCAAAATTCGGTCCTATCCATCGAATTTTCTTTTAAAGAAAATTCGAAATTAAAATTCTAATTGAATTTTTTAACATAGCACCGAGCCCAAAATAAAAAATTTTCGAGCTGACCTGCAGGGGCTGCCGCTTGGACCCCGCAGGGGCTGCCGCCTCTCGACCCCAGCCAGGGGCTCTGCCCCTTGGACCCCCCAGGGGCTGCCGCCCCTTGAACCCTGCTCGGGGGCGCTGCCCCCGAACCCCCGGTGTAACGGGTTTTATATCGTAACAAACTCAATGAAGCGTGCATTCCGCACCACCAAACTTCTTTAATGATTATTAGGATACCATTGGTCGTAGTTTTTCCAATTACACTAAAATATATAACACACCCTAAATTTATATGATGTGAATATGTATTTAAAAAATATATGAAATGAGAATTCCGTATTATATAATTTACTCCGTATAAAATTGCATATCCCAGTTGTATAAAATTTAGAAAAGATCATAAATGTGAATGTATATAATATAGGATCTCTACTTGTAAATTATAATGGGTAATTCTCGTCAAATGACTACATCTAAACAGAATTGAGAATGGTGGGTCTCCAACGACCACCCTTATTAGAGGCTATGACCAACCCCTTCCATTAGAGCAGCAATTGAGTAGTTTTGTTCATTGATTTGGGATTTTGGGCACTCTCTCATCTTTAATTGGCATTGTAGTCTATAGTGCTCTGAATAATTCTAATGACATAATTGGTGATTGCATATTGGAATGGGATAATTAATCACATTATGTGTTAATGAGCCTCTTAAAAATTATTAATCGTTCATTAATTTGATGAGTTTTGGAGAGTTATTATGATGTACTTTTCCATCCCAAATCAATTGTTGAATTGTAGATTTTAGTGGTTAACTGTTTTAATTCTCAAATTTAATTAATTTAAATAATTATACAAAATTTCATATTACATTCGTCATTGAGTATTTATTTAGTTTTCACTTTTTTCACTCAACTATTTTCAATATTTGATATATAATTAAATAAAATATATATTGTATATTAATTAAAAAAATTAATTTTTTGAAAATATTATATATCATACAGGGGCGGACCTACACTGGTTCGAGTGGGGTCAGTCGGAGTCATTCTGATTCAAGGGCAGACCTTTATATGGTTTAATAAAGTCAAGTGACACCATTAAACTTTGTATAAATATTACTATGTGTTGCATGAAATATACAAGGAAGTGTAGCTTAAGTGGTTGGGCATGCATTTAGCTTGTCATGAGGTACATAGTTTGTGAAACACACCCATGGGATACAAATTTTATAGTGTTTTCTAAAGGAGGTAGCATTGTCTCTTTTCTTTTAGAAATATGCAGTATTTTTTACCCTTTTCGTCATGATTTATGATTTGATAGCATGGAAAAATGTCTATGTTTGTATTGCAACAGAAGAATGAAAATCTATTATTTATTTTGATAAATGCAAGCTACATCAAAGTTAAATTATTGATTTTATTGTGATAATAATTTAAGTGAATAAATAAGAAAAAAAGATAGCTTGACAATGAAATAGGTCATAAAAGTAAAAAAATATATAAAATAAGAGATGAGATATTATAAAAGAAAACTATTTTGATTTAAAATCAATGAAGGTCCTATTTTTATTTATGTATATTATATATATTTTATAACTTTTTATATGGAGCATTCGTAGTATATTAAAAATTCATACCACTCTTTACTAATAAAATTGTTTTTGTATCAATATTTAATATCCTATTTATTTAATTTGAGGTCAAATTTTTCTAATTTTAACTGCAAAAGTAAAAAAAACTCAAGGACGGAGAGAGTAATAAAGTTTAGGATTATATATAAAAAAGTACGTTTAATTTTATTTAAAACAAGAAATGACAAGGTAATGTTATTTTTCATAAATGATTAACGAATATAAGTAAATAAAAGAAAATGTTTAATCCTAAATTGTATAGTGATCCGGTCAAGATCGATCTGGTCCAGATAACAAATATTCCAATGTTTTTTGGTAACCCACATCTGGTAAAGCCCATTCGAAGTCTTGACCAGAATTTTTTAACACCCACTTGGACCAGGCCAGTAATAGAAAATAATTAAAAATTCAACCAAAATTTGAATTTCTTGTTCCATTTTTGTCTTTGTTCATACAATTGTCTGCCTGGAGGCCTCTATGGGAAGTTTGTGGTTATGTATCTTTCTTTTCCTTTTTATAACTGAGCGTAATTTTAAGTTTTTAAAATGATGCATTGGGAGGGCCGAGTAAATTGAGTTTGTATAGTCATAAAAAAAAGGAAAAATTATCTCAAATAATCCCACCTTTTCGCGCTCTTTCAAAAATAATCCCACTTTTCACTGTCAACGGAAATAATCCCACCTTTTCGCATGTGTGCGAGTTTTGGGTCACCGTTAAAAAACTAACGGCCACTTAACGGAAGTTTTTTGAAAATGCCTGTTTTTTGCAAATAAATGAAAGGTGAGATTATTTTAGAAAAAATTGCTTTTAACTTTTTCAGTTTTGAATTTAAAATTAATATTTTTAAAAAATATAACAATACACTCTTGTTAGAGATTTGTCTAACGATTAACAAATTTTGTAGTGAGTTATAAAATTTATGGGTTCCGTTTCGGAGAAAAAAATATTGTGTCATTTTCACAACTTTTGAATTACTATTTTGGGAAATAATTTGTATTGAAAGATTAAAAAAAATCACAAATTGGGTAGTTCCATTTTAGAAAGAAAATTTTATTGCAATATAAGATTATCAATAAAAATTTTAGAGTGTTCATGGAAAAATTGCAATACATCAGAAAATGTTGTGAGTTATAAAAATAAAAGTTCTATTTTAAAGAAAAAAATTGTTGTGTTATTTTCACAACTATTGTAATGTTGTTTCACAAAAAATATTTATATAGAACTATCGAAAAATATTCATAAGTTTTGTAGTGCCATTTTTTTAAGAAATAATAATAATGTAGTATCAAAAAATAATTTGAAGTGCAGCTCAAGAAAAAATACAGTAAATGCAACTTACAAAAAAATGTACTCCCTCCGTTATGCAACACTTCCTCTTTCATTTTTTTTCCTTCCAACAAAATACTTTCACTTTCTATTAAAAAACCACTTTTACCCTTACTTTTTCATACCCTACCTATCACATCATACTTTATCTCTAATAATCTATTCATCACATCTTACTTTTACCTATTACATCAAGGGCAAAATTGGAAGTCAACTACAATTTAATACTTCCTTATTTTTACACAAAGTCAAAAGAGGAACACTTTTTCCAAACGGAGGGAGTAGTTAGTTATGAAGTTAATAAATTAGCTCTATTGTGTAGAATAATTTATTTTCTAATTATTACCATATTATTGGTTATTGAAAAAAACAATTAGTTTCACTCTAAAAACACTTAAATTTGGTATTATTTCCAAAAAAATAAAATAAAAATACATTTAAAGAAATTAAAAAACGAAAAAGGGAGAATTTACCTAAAATAATCCCACCTTTCATTTATTTGCGAAAAACGGGCATTTTTCAAAATATCCGTTAAGTGACCGTTAGTTTTTTAACGGTGACCCAAAACTCGCACACATGCGAAAAGTTGGGATTATTTTCGGTGAAAGTGAAAAGTGGGATTATTTTTGAAAGAGCGCGAAAAGGTGGAATTATTTGAGATAATTTTTCCTAAAAAAAAATATAGATGGCACCTCGTACTTATAGAATAAGAAAAAGGTGGAACGGCAATTTATAGTAATTAAAGGAAAATCTCAGTATAATTTTGGTCTGGTCTTTTAAAAGATTGTCTGGTATCTGGACACCTCGTACTTATTGGGACTCGATGTTTAGAGGAGTGTGAGTGATTAAAACCATCCTTTTTGTTATCTAAGGGAATCTCGTCTTATCATGTTAGGTATACTTATTTCTTTTTATTCTACTTTTTTGAATGTTATATTGACACTATTACAATGTGGTATATGTTCATATTTTTTTTCAACTTAATGACATACAAAGAGCTAATTCTTCTGCCTTTGCTGGGACTCAAAACTGGGTGAACTTTTCCATGAATCCTTGGGAATGCGCTTTCTGCCACTCAAGCAAGGAGAGAGGTCCCCTTTTGTTTTTACTCTATTTCAATTCCGAGCTTACCAAATAAATATTTTTCTAAAACACCTGAGATATTTTTGGATTTTTGTGTTAAAAATAAACACTTGGTAAAGGTAATCATGTTTGAATTTGTAAAATAAAAATTATGGGCAATTTTAATTTGTATTCTTGGTAGGCCCAAATTTTTCTTAACCATTAAACTAAGACCAAGTGTAGTAAACATGTTTGAATTGATCATAAGAAGTCAAGTCCCACAAAGCACCCCCATAATGAGTTTTGAAGGGACATTATAAGCTATACTAGCTAATGGAAAAAAAGATGAATTCCATCCTCCACACTCATTCAAAATTTGTTGGACGATCACCTAAGAAGAGTTATATTAAGCTTTAATACTAAATTGATGGTCAAAGTGGATCTTGCATGTCATACTTGTAGGGAGAGATTAGAAGAAGTTAAGTGTGGATATATCTCATGTGCATTGCCGCATTGGCAAAGAGAGATTAAAAGTTCATAGTCACACTAAATTAGACACCGAACTTTGAGGCCTGTTTGGTATATAAAATTTGATAGAATCAGAATTGAATTGGAATTGAAATTTCATGGAATTGAATTCGATGGAATTGGATTCACCAATTTCAATTTATTTTTTTGCACTACCGATTATATTCCAAATTTACATATTTAATGTGATAATAGGCTTCTTAAGAAGTCAATCAAAATAAAACTTAAATGTTAAACTTATATTGTACCTATGTTTTATCTCTGAAATAAGTGTATTGTGTTGTGCAAGATCAAAATCAATTGGACCATTTTATGTTGACATTTATATATAATATATAAGAAATATTTGTACTAAATAGCACTAAAACTTAAGTCATTTTTCTAAATAGTACTTAAATTGTTTTATTCCCTAAATAGCACATAATAATGTCCATAATGTCCAGTGATGACGAATATTTATTTGAATAATGACTAATGCATAATGACTAAAAGTGCTAAATTGGAAAGAAAAACACATGTGATACTATTTAAAAAAAGTCATTATATTTCAGTGCTATTTAAGTAAATTCCTCAATATATAAATCATGTTTTAATTTAGTTAATTAGACAATTCTCCTTAATAAGACGGGACGGGAGGAGACATCATTTTGTTCCATTTGCCACATGTACTCATCACCAACCCTTCAAATATTCATCCACTAATAATAATTCAATTCCAAATAATTCATTTCACCATCATCATCATCTATCTTTTCTTTTTTCTTCTTTCCTTTTTCACCGGCCACTTCAAGCAACATATATATATATATATATATATATATATATATATATATATATATATATATATATATAGCCACATATTCATTCATTCATTCACTAGCTACACACACGTCTACTTCTAGTAACACATTCATCTAATTTCTTTCTTCTCCGCCCAACACAAAAAAACAATGGTGGGATAGATCAAATTATATTGAATCCACTCATTTGATTTTCGAGCTATATTATTATTCAATATATTACTCATATTATAGTCTAGTCTAGTAGTAGAATTAACGTTGTTATGGAATGATGACTAATAGGTTTTGGTTGACGGCGGCGGCCATGCTGAAAAAGGTGGCGCAGCTGAGGAAAGTGCGGTGGATTATCGTGGCAACCCGGCCGATGGCTCGCGAACCGGTGGCTGGCTAGCTGCAGGCCTCATCTTAGGTAGGTGCTTCAAATCATTATTGCTTGGTGAATCAGTTATTAGCCCTTATACATCAAACCTAACGTTGAATGAATATTAATTCAAATTTTGATGTATGTACAATAAGAGTCATAATGGTCAGTTACGTTATTAGTTAATTGATTTTCTCGAGCTCGTCGATCAGGGACTGAGCTTTCTGAGAGGATATGTGTAATGGGAATATCGATGAACTTGGTCACGTACTTGGTCGGAGATTTGCACCTTCCGTCCTCGAAATCCGCCAACGTTGTCACCAATTTCTTGGGCACACTCAATCTCCTCGGTCTCCTAGGTGGCTTTGTGGCCGATGCTAAACTCGGACGTTACTTGACCGTTGCAATTTCTGCTTCTATTGCTGCTATTGTAAGTCTTCATTACCCCCTAAGCCCCTAAAATTAGTCAACAACAGCAACAACGATCCAGTTGAATTCCATAAAAATAAAATTTGGTCTCTAAAAGTACGGAGTATAATTTTATCTTCTCACTTACATAATTTAAATCGATACTAAAGTCGTTCGGTAGTATGTTGACCATGATTTCTATCCAGGGGTATTAAAGACATTTCAAAGAGGGCCCTCAACCCATAGTGATATTAAGTCACCTTTCGTTTGTTTCAAAAACAATTTACCTTCTTCCCTTATTTGCTCATCCAATAAATAATTTATCCACTTTTTTCGAAAAAAAAATGTAGTAAAAAATACTTCTCCCTTGTAAAATTGATTTTATGAGCCTTTTTTTACTTTTCAACGATTTCCCATACATTTTTCTTAATTTCTGTGAAGTAAAAAGGCGTAAATGAATTTCGGTGGGTTTGTAGCATGACTCTTTAATTAATGTTAATATCCCGTACGTTCTAGGGGGTGACGTTGTTAACACTTGCTACATCCATTCCGAGCATGAAGCCCCCGCGGTGCGACGACTCGAGGACCATGAAAAGTCATTGCATTGAGGCGAGCGGCGGCCAGCTGGCTCTCCTCTTCATAGCTCTCAACACAATTGCTCTGGGTGGTGGTGGAATCAAGTCCAACGTTTCCGGGTTCGGGTCGGACCAATTCGACTTGTCGAACCCGAAGGAGCGCAAGGCCATGATATATTTCTTCAACAGGTTCTATTTCTGCATCAGTTTGGGATCCTTGTTTGCCGTGACGGTTATGGTGTACGTACAAGACAATGTGGGGAGGGGGTGGGGGTACGGGATGTCGGCGGGGACAATGGCGGTGGCGGTGGCGGTTTTGGTGGCGGGGATGAGGCGGTACAGGTTCAAGAAGCCGCAGGGAAGCCCTTTGAGTGTGGTGTGGAGGGTTTTGTTTTTGGCATGGAAGAGAAGGAATTTAGAGTATCCTTCCCATCCTAGCTTGTTACATGAGTTCCACAATGCAAAAGTTCAGCACACCCCAAGGTTAAGGTAATTAATTAATTAGTTAATTAATAATGTTGATTATTTATGTGATAAAAAATCCAAAACAGAATTAGAGTGGACCTTAGCTTTGGCTTAATATAATAAAGAGTAATGAAGTAGGTACGAGTTTGCATCTATTAATTCTCACATCACATGGTACAATGGCCCCCTTCCATTACAAATACCCTTTTGGAAGGGCACAACCAAAAGCACGGACCACAAAAGTCCCTACCACCACATGCTACTAACACATTTTGAATCATATATTCCACATACGTTCATTTAATTATTTGCATCGGAATATGTATACTTCATCTGTTCCGAACAATTGTTCCTATTTCATTTTTTGCGTATCTCATAAAATATTTTTGCACATATTTATAATGTCTAAAATTTATCCAATATTTTCTTTATTATAGGTAAAAGTTATTTTGAAGGTATTTTAGATATTTCAGGTGAGATTAATGTGCTTTATGTGATGCATAAAAAATAAAATAAAAATATTTTTAAGAGCGTAGATATTATACTACCCAGACAAAAATGACATTATGTATATATGTACAAAAAATCGTTTTAATAGCCCCACAAAAGTCATGTGGCAATGTGACATTGGTGCATATGCATATTGTTTTTAGGGATAAGAATGAGGCATTAGTGCATATGCACATTGTTTTGTTATTAAGGATAACATTGTCATCATGAGGCAGTGACCGATATAGCTCAACACTACTCCATACCACTTTCCGGCCTCTACTTCAATTAAAATATTCAACAAAATTATAAAAAAAATGAGTTATTTAGATAGACAAAAGATCAAAATTGCATAACATTAATCTGGGTTTTTAAGATTATACTTTTTCATCCCAAAATATCCTCTGATCTCCTAAAAAATTCTAGTTACTATTCACACAACAAATTAATTAATTTTACTTTTTATACATATTTATCAATCATTTCATAAAATAAAATAATATTGCTATCACTTGTTGCACAGAACTTTCGATGTATTCTCTCAATATATAATTTTTAGTTTTGAATTTTATACAAATTTTTACTTGTATTAATTTGTAAAAAACTTTAGTCTGTTAAAATTCCGGCGGCCGAGAACGACGGGTAGAGTTTCAGGTAAATTAACTACTTGCATATAAAGTCGGGATCAACTATTCTAACCCAAAAGCTAAAACTGACAGGTGGGGTTTCACTCTTCTATATATGCAAGTAGTATTTTTCTTTATTTTCTAATGTGGGAACTCTAATATAATCAAACATGGTAAATCAAATACTCCCTCCGTCCCAAAAAAATTTACACATTTCAAAAAAATTGTGTCCCACAATCCCTTACCCATTTCTATTAAAAAACCACTTTTACCCCTTACTTTTTCAAACCCTACCTATCACATAATACCTTTTTCCTAATAATCTACACATCACATCCTACTTTTACTCATCACATCAAGGGTATTTTTGGAAAGTCAACACAAAATTATCTCTCTCTTAATTTCAAATTTAGTCAAAATGGGTAACACTTTATGGGACGGAGGGAGTAATAGCCTTATTTTGGAACAAATAGACTAAGTTTTGTACACAAGCACATAAAAAGTGGAGTAGTATTATTCTAACACAATTTAATTCAAATTAAACATCAGATGTCTAGACAAGGCAGCGGTTGTGGAAGAAGAACAAATTGCAAGGTGCGGCGGCGAGGGGTGGAGGAACAACCCATGGGTAGTGTCAAGAGTGAGTGAAGTGGAAGAAGTGAAGATGGTGCTGAAGCTTCTTCCCATCTGGTCCACATGCATCCTCTTCTGGACAGTCTACTCTCAGATGAACACCTTCACCATCGAGCAGGCTACCTTCATGAACCGGAACATTGGCGCCTTCCAAATCCCCGCCGCCTCCTTCTCCGTCTTCCTCTTCCTCACCATCCTACTCGTCACTTCCCTCAACGAGCGGGTCACCGTTCCTGTTGCCAGGCGCTTCACCCGCTCTCCCCAGGGGATCACCAGCCTTCAGAGAGTCGGAGTCGGGCTTCTCCTCTCCGTGCTCGGTACGTCTCACTTTCCACTTTTACTCTTACTTTATGCTCCCTTCATCCGAAATAAAGCTCTTGGTTTGACTTAATACAAATTAAGTTGAAGGAACATGGAAATTGGGAAAAGAATCACTGGGTTGGCTATAAAATACTTGAGATGAACCAAATAAAAAAATCAGATTCAAGTCAAGAGCTTCTACCTACCGATTACTTTTTTTTCAACTTCTGATGTGGGATACACTCTGAGTTCCATTATATATGTTGTAATAAAACCCTAGGGATGGTGGCTGCTGGGGCGGTGGAGAAGCACCGGAGAGAGAGCGCGGTGAACAACAACGTCAAGATCAGAGCATTCTGGCTGATTCCTCAGTTCTTCATCGTCGGAGCGGGAGAAGCCTTTGCGTACGTTGGGCAGCTGGAGTTTTTCATCAGAGAGGCGCCGGAGGGGATGAAGTCGATGAGCACCGGTTTGTTTCTCAGCACACTTTCCATGGGGTTCTTCGTGAGCAGCGTGTTGGTGGTTGTGGTGGGGAAGGCCACGAAAGGCGGGTGGCTAAAGAGCAACCTCAACGTAGCCCGGCTCGATTACTTTTACTGGATGCTGGCTGTGTTGGGAGTGGTTAATTTTTCGGTTTTCGTGGTTTTCGCAACGAAGCACCGGTACAAGGCACAGCTGCAGGGCGAAGAGCTGATCATCAAGACTTGTGATCAGGACAATGACGAAAAGGGGAGCCCTTAATTAGTGTTTTAGGGGCAAGAAGAAGTCATGTTTTTAACCATAAACTTAATTGTCCTGAACCTTAGATTATATGGAATCTCATCTTCTCTTGCTTCTTACAGACATGTCAAAAGACTTGATGTCTCTTTGTTGTGCCTGTGCATGTCTACTAAAAATTCTAAAATAAAAACGTGATTGAGGAGAAAGCTTGAGTCAGTTGAGGGAGGATACCAATTCAATGTAGGATAGAACAAAGATTGTGCATTTATACTCTAGCAGTACCTAATGTATATTTTCAAGTAGGTGTGTGTTAAGTTTGGCGGTTCAGTTTTCATCCAAAACCAAAAACAAAATGAAAGTTAAGTTGACGGTTCAGTTCGATTCATTTTTGCGTAAAAATATGTAAATCGTTGGTTATTCGGTTCCGTTTCATACGCTTTTATTTCGGTTGATTTTTGCGTAAAAATATGTAAATCGTTGGATTTGGCGGACGAGAACCAGAGACAGAGAAGATGCGCGAGAAGCAGAGACGGAGTGGATAGGTGAGGTAAAGATTAAAAAGTGATATTACATCTGATCCATTGTTTTGAAAAGTTATTAGATCCAACGGCTGAGATTGAAAAGGTCATCCCATGACATTTAAATTTTAAAGTACATGTCAGGTGAACCGAGTCCTTATATCAATATCTAATATCACTTTTGTTTGTCTCATGGTCAAAATTTACCAATTTTGATCAAAAAATCAAAAGTAGATAAATACTCTAGGATGGATGGAGTACAAATTATCTCTAAGCTTTTAAAAATGGGAGAACTTCTTAGATAGGAGTAAAAAATATGAAAATACCAAAATATAAGTTATAAGACTTTTAAAACCAAAATTAAATATGAGTTCACACTGACAAACTCACCACAATGTCACAACATAACTGTCATAGTATCGCCGTCACACTGCCATCCATCACCGCCGGCCACTAGAGTGCTACCGCGGATCAGCGACAGTTAACTGATTATACTGACATATTACACTATCATTAGTTTTTCATCACACTTCTAACGCATACTTATACTCCACACTGTTATTATACTCTTACTTTGGTCTTAAAAGACTTATGACTCCTATTTTGGTATTTTTAAATACTTTTTTACTCCTATTCAGAGATTTCTCTTATTAAAAATATTACATCAATAGTCTATCAACATAAGATTTGATACCGCGTTAATCACACGCTCAGGTGATGTACGCGACATATGAATCCAACGTCTATCCATCATATGAATTGCTAAGCAAGAAAGAATGGCAAATGATTGATACATGCAAAACAATGCACAACAAAATTATTAACACTCATTTTATATGTACACACAAACATATAAGAGATACATGCAACACAATATTTTATTTCTTATGACGTAACGAAAATCCGGCAACACTTCTTCATTATACAAATGGTCCTTCTTTACACCATCCTAACCCATTCTTGAAATGCCACCCTCACTAGTAAATGTATTTCATTTTCTTTGACCTATCAAAATTTCGGCAGCATTTCCCAATGGTTCTCCATGTGCACGATGTAATGTAATTATATATGCACCCGAAGAACACATTTCGAAAACGTCAAACCGAAAAATGATAGAACAAAGAAAAAGAAATACACTCACTACCTAAGTGAGAGAAGCATTTCAAGAATAGCTCCAAATCGGGAGCTATTTAAAATTTACTCCTAATGAGTAAATTTTAAACGGGTATCTAGGTCGATCAATATATGTTAGTTCTATATTATAACATCTGAGATCATGTAGAATCAAACACAAAGTAATTAAACAATTTATATTTCAAACACAATCTATATCACAATGTCACATAAACATAAATACAAACGCAATTCAAATATATAGTAAATAAAGAAAATACATTGAAATAAATTTAAAATTATATTTACCACTTAAAATAAAAATATATTCACCTAATACAAAAATATATAAATAAATAATGGTATAATTTTGAATTTAAAGAAAAATATCAAAAAAAACCTTAGAGTGTGACGACGGAGGGATGATGGCAGAAGGGGTGGCAGCGAAGGGATGGCGGTAGAGTGACGGCAAATGAATGGAGGCGCGGAATGGGGCAGATTGAAGGGCTATGAGCAGAGGCGACGTTCTTGGTATTTAGTCGACTTCAGCGCCACCGGAAACACCCATTTTGGACACGACAAAGGGTTGACAACGAATGGTTGGCGGTAGGACGTGGCACAGCAAAGAGATGACGTCGGCGAGGGATGGCACCAGCGAAGGGTGGAAGTTGGCGTGGTGGCGTCGGCAAAGGCTGGCATCGGCGAAGGCACGACGAAGGGTTTGGACATTTTTTTCAAAATCGCGTATGGATAAGAATTTGGAGGTTGAATATAACGACCCTGTTTGAATCGGTTATCCTTAATAACCGATGCAAATAACCTTTTGCATTGGTTATTAAGGATAACTAATTCAAAAGGTTATGTTAGCCTAGTATATTTGTATATGTTTGTTTATTATGTATTGGGCCAAATAAATCATAGGCCCGAGACTTTATGTATATATATTCCGTGTAACTAATGTAAAGGTAAGTTTCACGTAAATCAGTTTCTACATGGTATCGGAGCTATCCTAGGGCTATTCGTCAAACCCTTGCGCTCACGTCGTTGGTACGCCGTCGTCTTCCTCGGTGATAGTCTCTCTCCCTCGCTGGTCTTCCGTCTGGTGCGCAGGAGTAGGAGTTCGTCAAGTCCTCTCCCTCGCTGGTCTGCCTCGCCGTTCGTTTGCAGCCTGTCCCTCGTCGATCACCATCATGTCCGGTGAAGTTACGTCAAACCCTAAAAAGACAAGGTTGATCCATGATCCGTCGTCCATATATTACCTTCATCCCTCCGAAGGTCCGGGTAATTCTTTGACAAAATACCTCCTCAAAAGTGACAATTTTGATATTTGAGAAAAGGCAATTCGTAATGCATTAGGTGGCCGTGGAAAGTCTATTTTTTTGTTGTCCGTAGGGATTACCAAACCTACTGACGAACATGAGTTGTCTGCGTGGTGTGCTAATCATCAAATCATTTGTAGTTGGATTTTTAACAGTGTTGATGAATCTATCCAACCGAGTATTGTTTCTCATTCAATTGCTTATGAGTTGTCGAATGATTTGAGGAAACGATATAGTTGTTCAAATGGGCCTCGTGTGTATCAGTTCAAGTCTGAGTTAAATGCTCTACGTCAGAAGGGTCAAAGCGTCGTTTCATATTACAACCAATTTATCACTCTGTGGAACCAACTATACGGCTCTTCTGACCTCACCGGGGGCTGCCGGTGTGAGGCCTCTGGGGTCACACGTGCCCGTATTGAACGTGACAAAACAGTGGATTTTTTACTCGGCTTGGATGATGAACAGTTTGGTAATATCCGTTCTCAAATCATTGGTACCGAACCGGTGCCCGATCTTGAATCAACGTAAGTATGCTCTTGACATTATTGATGAGGCAAATCTCCTTGGATGCAAGCTGGTGGACACGCCCTTACCGGTCAATCATAATTTAGCTCGATCCACCAGTGCTGAGATTCGTGATCCTCAGAAATACCGTCGACTTGTGGGCCGTTTGTTGTATCTCACCATTACTCGTCCTGATATTTGTTATGTTGTTCATACCTTGTCTCACTTTATGCAGGCTCCACGTCTTGATCATTGGAATACTGCTCTACGTGTTCTCCGTTATCTTAAGGGCCACCCTGGTCAGGGTATCTTGTTGCGTAGTGACAGTAATCTTGCCCTTACTGCTTATTCTGATTCTGATTGGGCCAGATGTCCCCTTACTCGTCGTTCTATTACTGGTTATTTCATTTTGTTGGGTGGTTCTCCGGTCTCATGGCGTACTAAGAAGCAAACTACAGTTTCCAGGTCTTCTGCCGAAGCTGAGTATCGAGCTATGGCTAGGGGTGTAAATGGATAACCGAAAATCCGATTACCGTCCGCATCCGTATTCGTTTAAATGGAAAAAATCTGCATCCGTTTTAAATGGATATTATCCGTATCCGATTAAGCACATCCGATTGATAAACGGATGCGGATTTGGTAATTACTGATCCGATCCGTTTAAAATCCGATCCGTGTATACATCCGTTTATATATCCGCATATCCAATTATCCGATCCGTTATACCAAATATAGGTAATAAAAAATTATCCGTAGTTAAAAAAAATTATCCGTAGTTTAGACTAATTAATATTTTTATGTATAAAGTATACTCCTAGTTTCCTAATTTCTACTCAGCCCACTAAGCCTAGGCCCAAAACCACTATTGAGACTTGGGGTATTGATTAAACCTAAATAATACCTAATACGGAGCACTTTTTTTCCAGAACCAGCATCCAACGACCAACTGACCTAGCGGCGTCGTCTTCCACAGCTATTTTCCGAATCTAGCGACCATTTCAGCGAGTCTGCGGCTTCAGCTCAGCACCTCATGATGTTATTTAACTGATTTTACTTTTTGGTTACAAATTTAGATTTCATGTTTTACAATTTTTGTTGGTTGTTGCAAGGTCAAATCTTTTTGTTGTTTGATTTGTAGATTCAGAAACTTGGTTAAGGATTTAAAGCTTTTGGTTGTGCTTGGTTGATTTTAGATTTTTAGATTTTCATATTACATATTCGGATATTTAGATGGATCTTTTTTTCGGATACGGATACGGTTTTTCCTTGTGAATCGGATGTTTTATCGAATCTAGAAACGGATTTGGATTCGGATTTTTTACTAGTCGGATGCTCCATCGGATGCGGATATATCTGAATCCGCATCCGTATCCGCCGGATTCGGATTCGGATTTAGTATCGTAGACATCCGTCGGATACAGATGCGGATTCGGATAACAGTTTTGCTAATCAGATTCGGATACGGTTTTAATACATCCGAAACGGATATTATCCGTTTACACCCCTAGCTATGGCTAACGCATGTGCTGAAATCCGATGGTTGTGTGGTCTCTTGGCGGCCTTAGATGTTCCATGTGTAGCGACTCCTCGTTTGTATTGTGATAACAAGTGTGCTTTGTTCATTGCCGCCAATCCAGTTTTTAATGAGCGCTCGAAGCATATCGATATTGATTGCCATATTGTCCGAGAATGTCTTCAGCGCAACCATATCGTCACTGCTTACGTTCCTACGCGTTTTCAGACGGCAGATATCTTCACAAAGGCTCTCTCCGGTCCTCTTTTCCGCTGCTTATTGTCCAAGTTGGGCATTCGTGATATTCATGCTCCAAATTGAGGGGGAGTGTTAGCCTAGTATATTTGTATATGTTTGTTTATTATGTATTGGGCCAAATAAATCATAGGCCCGAGACTTTATGTATATATATCCCGTGTAACTAATGTAAAGGCAAGTTTCACGTAAATCAGTTTCTACAGGTTAAAAGCATTTGAATCGGTTATCCTTAATAACCGATGCAAATAACCTTTTCCATTGGTTATTAAGGATAACCGATGCAAATGTAAAATGCTACACGAATTTTTTTCTTTTAAATCGTTTGTTTTGCTTAGCGATGCAAATGTGGGGATTTATTTGGTCGTTTTTGTAGTAGTGAAACGTGTTGGAGGCCTAGAGTTTGATGAAGATGTGAAGGATTGATGAAGAGGTTTTTCGATTGAGGAAGAGATTGATCGACTAATAATGCTCGAGTTTTGAATTCGGTTACTAACATCTAAAGCGAGAATAGTTATTTAGGATTTCAGGAAGTTAAAAAATATAAGAGAATAAAGTTTGGAAAAAGCATATTGCAGAACTCACGTGCAGCATATGAGTTTTGTTGAATTCATACTTGTACTAAACGAGCATGTGATTAACCTACTTTTAAATTTCATAGAGAGGAACCGTTGATGCAATATTTTAAAGAGTCCAAAGACTAGCTATAAGTGTAAATTTTAAAGTTTAGGGGGAATTTGGGTAATTTTTAAAACATCCAGGGGTAAATAATGCAAAAAAATTCTAAATAAAATCTATATATACTATATTTAAAAAGAGGGGAATTTTCCCTTGCGTTTTCCCACCCATACGTGTAAAAAAAATTATTTATGTTGAATCATTCATATATAATGAGTAATATTTATATTGATATTGTAGGATCTCATATATTTGTACATGAGTCAAATTTGCAATCTTCCGAGAGTGAGAGTGAGCATGGAGGGAATGAGGTGGATGACGGAGAAGAGGATGGTGATGAGGAGGATGAGCAGTTGGTCCCACTCGTGAGAGATCAACATGTATACATTGATCCTAATGGCACGTAAGTTATGATGAAAAAAATCATTATCACATATATTGATTTTTTCTGTTTTTTACAAAATAATATATGGATTAAGATCACTACTGCCGCATGTCACCTAATCACCCCCTCATTTTATCTGGGGGGGGGGGATCTTGAAGAGACAAAATTGAAAAATGTTGGGCCAGAGATGCGAGATTTTTACTGGCGAAAGTTCCATGCATGTTTTTCATACGTACTAGAACACTTATAGCTTTTCAATAATTTGTTTTAAAATAAGTATACTTACATAATCTTTTGTTTCTTTGAATATAGAAATGGTGCTGCTGGGATCATCGCATTCCAATTGGTATAGTCAGGCATGCTTTTATGCGATATGCAGGGAGATTGTAAAGTCGCTTTACCTATAATCAACATAAGGCGAGAGTAGTTCACAAGAAGCCCCCTGCTAAGCTAGTTGGTCGTTGGGACAAGGTGATTTAGTTTTGAATGTATTGCAAATTTTCTATATGTATATGTTCTATTATTAATCTTCATCTTATTAAAGCATTGAGTATCTAAAACAGGCGGGCCATATGTATCTATATGTATAAGTTCTTTAAACAATCCTCATCTTATACGTATGAATAGTTTTGGAATTCCAAAGAATTTAAGCAAGAATCTGAAGTGAAGAAAAAGAATAGAAGAAAGGGGAGAAATGAACGCCTAGCTATTAGGACCTATACTTAAGGGCCGATTCCTTGTTCTGAACAACTTGCCCAATTGGTAAGTAATGAATGAATAAATAAATATTAATACTTTTTTAACTTCTAAATTAATATGTTAATTACAAATATGTACATTTTTTGATGAATTTACAATGTTTATTATATGGCCAAATAGCGTCAATACCCGTCGTGGTTTGCAAAATAGGCAGCAATACCCCCCCTGTTTTCAAAACTTATTTCTAAAGTCCTTGTGGTTTCAAAATGCTGCACCCGTGCCCCCTCTGATCATTTTCCGGTCATTTTTCCGGCGAAGAAGGGGGGCATTCGTGCATATTTTCTAAACCATGGGGGGTACCAGTGTTGATTTTTTATTTCTCTCTTTTTTCCCATTTTTTTCCTTTATTTGTTACATTTATTAATAAAGGTTATTTTACAATTACTTTTATAATGTTCTTAAAATTTAAAGTTATTTTTGTTTGAAAAAATTAACATATAATGCATCGGCACGTCTCAAATTAACAATTTCTGTTTTTTCTGGAAAAAGGTTTTTTTTTTAGAACTTCTAAAAAATGATGAATAAAATAAGAAACAAAATAATACAAAAATAAAAATGATTATCCTTTTTGGACATCTCAATTTTAAGAATATTTTTAGGCGTGTTCCAAAATTGTTTTTTTGTAGAAGACTCTTTTTTTCGTATTTTAATTTTTTTCATTTCGTTTTTCCATATTTTTATTTTGGGTTTTCTTTTTGAACTTTCCAAAAAATTATTCTATGTAAGAAAAATTGAAAATGTTTAATTTGAGATAGATGTAATGTATGTTAATTTTTTTATTAGTTCAAACACAAAGAATTTTAAAAAGTTTTAAAACATTATAAAAAATTGAAAAGAAATTTTAAAAAAAAATCTAGGAAAAGGAAAAAGAAGGAAAAACACAAATAATAAACGAAAAATAAGAAATGAGCACGAGTGCCTCCTATGGTTTAAAAATTATGCGCCAATGCCCCTTCTTCGTCAGAAAATGGCCGGAAAATGATCAGAGGGGGTGTGGGTGCAACATTTTGAAACCACATGGACTTTAGAAATAAGTTTTGAAAACAGAGGGGGTATTGGTGCCAATTTCCAAACCACAAGGGGAACCGGAGCTTTTAGGCCTTTATTATATTGTAGGCTCAAAAGTCTAAAGCTCCAATAACACTGGTGGATCGATGCTTTCAAGCCCACCAAGACAAAGAAACACGATGGTAAAACATGGATAGATCAAGAAAATGCACAACTTGAGGTAAATGTGAATTATGTGCACTTCTTATTAATTAAATTTAATTTTACAATGCGACAATATGATGATTACATATACTCCATATGTTTCTTATATTCATTATGTATTCCATTGTACAGACCGATTTCTTACGTTTGGAACAAATGGCTAAGGAGTCGGGCCTTAAGGTCACAGATCAGGAAATTTGGTTGGAACTAGTTGGTGGCTTTGATCAAAAGCATAGGATTAAGGGAGTCAAAGATCTTTCCAAACAAATGAAACTCCTTAAACCTAGATATCAAAGCAGAAGAAAGAGCACGCACCAGTGATATTTTGAAGATCGAGCGGCTGAGAGCGGAGAATGAAGTCATGAAGGCAAGGTTGGATAAAATTGATTTCACAGTTGCTGAACAAATTGAAAAAATGTACCGGGTTGACCAGAATCATGACCGTAGGTAGTGGTTCTGATGTCATAGATTAGATGGTCTTAGGCAATGACTCTAAGTCCTAAAATGGAATTATGAATAATGATGAGATAGCCTTAGCCTAGAATAGGTTATGAGCAAGTATTAGAGATGAGCTACTCTAAGAACATGAACTGTGAATTGATAACTGATGCAGCTAAGCAGTTAAGGTAAGTAACATGAAGTGCGATGTATTACGATATAGTTGAGATTACTTGATGTTGTTATTGATATTACTTGTGCATGGAATGCTAAGAATGATTATGTATGCTGAATTAGTCCTATGTGTGACTTCAACTGTTAAAATCTCTCACTCAACGTCAAAGCTGAGCATGTAGTTTGTTTTACTTACTACACGTAGGTAACATGAGTGACAAATAAGAAAATATTCTAGGATAGCAGCGAGGATGAGGAGATGGATGGATTGTGGTTGAAGAGTTTACTTAACTAAATATTTCAGTTTCAATTTACCATGTTTTGGGCAAGAACCCAAAATTGTGTTTTGAATTAAGTATTTAAGCTTCCCCATGGTTTTAATCACTTTGATGGATATTTAAATAATATTCTGGAATTAAACAATTTAAAGTGTTTCGAAAATAAGACATGTTTGGATGCCAATCTGGTGACAACTCGATCAGTTAATCCATATATTCAGGTTACGCGGGTCGGAGTGTTACAGTAACAAACCCAGGATGTCCATGTGCACCCACATAATCCAATTCCCATTGTTTACTGCTCCCCAATATGAAGACTCAACCTGACTAGCCTGTAGTCAGATGCGCTCCCTGGTTCCCTTCCCGAGTGATGAGTCGCAACCATTCGCTCACTAAGACTCGCCCATGTGACAACCTCTCATCAGACACCGTGGCCCTTGGGTATCCTCCCTCCACATTACGTGGTTTGCCAAGACCTCGGGGCTCTTTGTGTGTATGCGTATTTGACCGGGGGCCGCCATACAGTGGTCCTTGATGCATAGCTTTGCTTCCCGTTTGTATCACATCAAAAGAGAAAGGGAGGACAACATGACGAAAGCGCGTAGAAGACCGCGAGCATTAGGTTTGAATAACAGAACGTTTGCCGGAAAAGGAAGAATAAGGGGAGGATAACTGCTAAGACTCTCGTTAAGTCCTTAGCATGTTATAATGATTTGACTACTTAATTATGAATACAGCGTACAACAATGTGAACTTTTCCCCTGTACCATTATTTTTTATTTTTGGAACATAAGTGAGTGAAATATAATTTGTTTAAAAAAAATAAGATTGTATTATTGATTCTGGAATTAAAATTAAGATACAATAACGCCAAGGAAGGTTGGTCATACAAATATTACAAGTATGAGACGAACTAAAAATGTAAAAAGGGATAAGAATAGTATTCTATAGAACAAAAAGATACTCGTATATACTATCTCTTCTCTAAACATGAATTTTGGACTTTCATTCCACAACAAAATTACGCTTTTTTCATTTCCTTTATACGGATTTCTCTCTTTTTCTAACCAAAAAATAATAATACAAATAAAATACACAAGAAAAATAATTAAGGGGGAACAGATTAAGTAGTATGGAGCCTAGAAGATCTATTATTTTCCATCCATACAATGTTTTATCAAATTCGAGTTAGGGAAATGTGAATTTAAAGACGGAAATCTAATGGTATCATGCAAATAAATGCACGTTTGGTATAACAAATTAACAAAAAAATAGAAATAGAGAAGCAAAACACATTAAACTTTGGTCTTACATGATGATCGATTTCAAGGACCTGGCTTTGATCGGTTTCCGCACTTTTTCCTTCTTCCCAACTCCGTCTTCCTCGTCGTCTTCGCTGTCGAATTCGTCTTCCACGCCGTGGCTCGGGTCATGGTGGGAGGTGTTTGGCAAGTCCGTGTTGTTATACCGCGCCCGACCCGGGCCTCTTTTCTTGCCCCATAGCGGCCCGAACCCGGTGTAATAGTACAAATCTTGCTGCTGGTTCGAGGAGGAGGAGGAGGATGCCGAATGAGTCTTCTTCGGCCGGGGGCGGCTATTCTTGCCGGTCGGAGCAAGAGTCTGGTTCCCGGCGGCAGGGCGAGCCAGGTTGTTGTAGTGCTTGATCTGCTCCAAGTGGTGGTCGCACAAAGCGCCACGGGATTTCGCCTCCCTCTTGCACTGCCACGCCTTGCCGTCGGTCTTGGAGCACAGAACCGCCGCCGTGAGGCCGGAGCTGAGGGAAATTAAATCCGGCAACAGAGCAATCAGAAATAGTACTCGTATATATATTTAAAAAACCCTAATTATTGTGTGTTGAGGAGGAGGAGGAGAGGGGAAATAATAGACGGAATGGAGAAATTGAGTTGACGGCGTCAACGCTAACCTCTGAACGGCTCCGTTTGAATCGGGAAGGGGACGAGTTCCGCCGCATCCGCCGGACTGCAATAAGAACTAAAAATGGGGGGAAAATCAATGAAAATGGGGAAACAGGGGAAAAACAGAGGAAACAGAAGGGAGGAATCGAAGGGAAATGAATAAACAGACGCCGGAAATGGGGAGATTTGGAGGCTTTCGCGAACCCTAGCTAAAGAGAGGTTTCCAGAATAATAATACCCTAAATAAACCCAAACAAAACATCGAATACAGAGGAAAATTAAATGAAAACAGAACCGTCGGATCAAAACAGAGAGAGAGAGAGAGAGGGGTGATAGGAAGCTGACCAGATGAGGCGGCGGCGCCGCGGGATGCGGCGACGACGGGGAGGATTCGTCTTCGATAGGGAAGGTGATGACGTCCCAAGGAGACTGATTGAGCTGACAGATACGAGTCGGAAGCTTGACGGCGCCGGGCTTTATCGAGGAGGCGGCGGCGGCGGCGTACGTGAGAGGTGACACCTTCGCATGCTTCCTTATTCTCATGGCGGAAAGCTCACTCTTTTTTTCTGTCTTTTTATTTTTATTTTTTTTGCTTTTCGATTTGTTTGGTAGAGAGAGACACTAGAGATGGATAGAGATAGAGAGGTGTCTTAGTTTTTTTTTTTTTTGAAAGTGAGAGGTGTCTTAGTTTTTTTTTTTTTTGAAAGTGAGAGGTGTCTTAGTTATTGTTATTGGCGTGTACACTTTGTAGTAATCGTTAAGGAATACTACTTTCTTTTTTTAATATTCCCTACTGACTTTTTATAATCAATCATTTTCAATTTTTATCTATTTTTATTTATAATATACTCCGTATATGTTATATTTATTAGAAAAATAATATTTATAAAATAAATCTAATAAATATCATTATCTAATACGGAGTATCATTTTTATCTAATATTTCATCTGACCTAAAGTGATCTTTCCTATTCGGTTCACGAGATTTGACTACAATTATTTTTCAACTCAATTCATTAGATTATAGGTGTAGAATTAGAAAAATAAAAATTATATATTTTAAAACTACATCAAAATATACAAACAAGAAGTGACATGACTACATTATTTTACGGAGTATCAAATAACTAAGAAAAAAAGGGAAAAAAAAGTGATTGTAGTTTGACCATGAAAATAAGGTCTGCAAAGATCATTTTAAGACCGAAGAAGTATATAGTCAAAGTTTGTTAATTCTAATTGAAAAAAGTGAAAAATAGTCAAATACTTGTGGACATGGTAGTATATATATTGACTCACTTCAAAAAAAAACATCACACTAGTCAATACAAAAAAAAATTGATTTGGAAAAAAAGGATTGATCCTCTTTTATTTGTGGATGATGCTCCGACGGGGTCAAGGATACTTATTTTATTACTTATTTTTTTTCTTCTAAAATTATGGATAAAAAACATGAAAAGAAAATAGTGATGAATAAATTATTTATGGATTGAGTGATGAATATGGAGTTAATGAATGGGTGATGGTGAAGTTCCACCCTAACAAAACCTAACTCGTTGTCATTCCTATAAATTCAAATTAAATCAGATTGTATCAAGAAGATATAAACCTGATAAAAAAGATTTAGTTCAGATCAAATTTAATTTAAATTAATCAAGTCAATTTACACGAGATCAGAAAAAATCAGATCATAATAGACCTTATTAATTACTACCTCCGTCCCACTCTTTTTGTCCAGCTTTGACTTTTGGAACTGTTCATCTAAGCACTTTGACTCATCAAATTCTCTCAATGTGTAAGTCTAAAAATAGTCATGTGTGATCTTGTTTGATTTGTCTTAACATGTAGATTATTAATATATAATTTTTATAATTTTTTAATACACAAATTACAAGATAAAATGGATTAAAGAAGTTTATTGGATAGTGTGCAAAAATGAAAGTGGACAAAAAGAGTGGGACGGAGGGAGTAAATTTATATCAACAAAGAGAACAAGCTCTAAACTAGGATTGTACCTCGTATATAAATAACAAATTTATCCAAATAAGATTAAAGCATAAAATTTATACCAAAATAAGATCTTTTTTAATTTTGTCAGCTAAATAGTAGTGTTGGCATAGTAAATCATGTGCAATTTAGAATGCTTTGTTGGCATTTCATTATTTTTTGCTATTATATTTTGGCAATATAAATCTTAATTTTGCTATAACAAAATCAAGGATCATATTTTGTTATATGGTGCATGTTTTAGTCTTAATTACTACTCCCTCCGTCCAAGTTTAATATTCCCACTTTGACCAGACATGGAATTTAATAAAAGTTGAAATTTACATCCACTTTCCCAAATGACCCTCACCTTACCCCACTTCCCCCCCCCCATTCCTATCGTGCCCAAATTAGTGCCCCCAACCCAACACAACCGGCCAGAACAAAATTTCGGCGACCCAAATAGATCAAATTTCCGGCCAGAGAAAATTTTGCCAGCCTCAACATTTTAGAATTCGCGTGGGCATCTTTTCAGGCCCAAATCGAGCTGTCCTGCACCGTGATGGAAGAATAGAAGATCTGAAGATGAAGAAGATTTGAAGAAGAAGATCCTTCCTCGCCACTGATCTCCTTACAGATCTAAATCGGATTTCTCAGATCCGACAGAGATATGAGCGATCAATCGAAAAGAAGAAAAGAAATAAGAAGAAAAGAGAGAAGAAAAGAAAGAAGAAGAAGAGAGGAAGAAGAAGAAGAAGGAAAAAAGGGTCGGTGGAATCGGAAGAAGGGGGAGAAGAAAAGAAAGAGGAAGAAGAAAGAAATAAGAACAAGAAGAAAAAGAGGAGGAGAAAAGAAAAATCGAAAGAAGGGAAGAAAAATGAGAGATGGGAAGTTTCTGGACAGAAGAAGAAGAAAGGACAGAAAAAGAAGAGAAGAAAGATAAAGGGAAGGGGGGGCTGCCGCAGGAAGGAACGAGAAAAAAGAAATAGGAAGGGCACTTAAGTCATTTTAACAAAGAAAACTTACTAAAAAAAGAAATGATAACTTTAATTGTAGACATCCAAAAAAGGAAAATGGGAACTTTAATAATGGACAGAGAGAGTATATATTTGAGAAATTTACCTAAATAGGATTAAAACATAATGACTTTCCCAATATAGGACCATATGTTTTTTATTCCCTAAATAGGACTTTTGGTCATTATCAAGTAGTCATTATTCAACTAAATGTCTATCATTACTAGACATTATTCCTTCCACTAGGTCATTATTAAGTCCTATTTAGAAAATAAAAAAGTTTAAGTCCTACATTAGAAAAGTCATTATGTTTTACTCCTATTTAGTGCAAATTTTACTATATATTTTTCAAATAAAACAAACTAAAAATGCTATTCTGAGTTTTGACACCAATGTAGATACATGGGATAACACTGCTTATGAACTTCTTACAAAAAAAACTCTCATGAGAAACAAAAACAATATTACTGCCTAAGAGGCAAGAGCACCCGCTGACGGATGTATTTACACCCTGGTTCGAACCTGGTTCCAGTCTACCAGAAACCCATCCATGTGGATTTCTGGATTGACACGAATAGTAAAGGAGAGAAGAGAAGTTGATCCGGTCAAAGTATCATGGAGCCCACCTGGGTGTGATCTCCGTAACTAGGTAAACCTGAGATGATTCATCAGGCAACTAGCCTGACCTTCAGAGTTTACCCGAGCCTAGTCGTGCAGAGGCGGTAACCGTACTAGGTTGGGTCTTTTGCACTTACTTAACGTAGCAGTATTAGAGAGAACAAAGTGTAGTGACATGGTCTAAGTGTCTCGAAGACTATCCGAGTGTAACATATGTGACTGGGTGAAAAGCAAGATATACCTTCAAGAGATCACCCAGGTAGCTTTGGACCAAAACCCACTCAGGTGGATTCCAATAATCTTATAGGATGACAACAAACTTAGAGCGATAATCTAGTTGTATTTACCTGGTGATGGGTGTATTCCACCCGAGACAGGTCCATCCAGGAACAACTGGGTGAATCCCAAACAATAGAAACCAGATACCTTAGGTGGATCTGTACATGACCGGGTCCTGGATGCAGACCTCCTGGGTGCCTTTGAGGAGACTGATCACGTAGCATGGCACTATAGAGAATATCCTCGAATGATCAGGATGTCCCTTCAGGAAACCACCCAGGTAGATTTCCATGACTTATTCTAGCGTGCGTATTGACAGCTCAGCGCGGTAGGACGATAGTGCTTTGGGAGCCACTTGGTCAGGACGATTCCTCCGCACCAACGGGCCTATCCAGGCATTCCCACCCAAGCATTACGCGCCAAATAGGGACAGTTACAAAGGGAAATCTCCAAGGAAGAACGGAAAAACGTTAAAAGATTAGAAAATATCAGGTCATGTACTTCGTCACGCAGCAAGAACATGGCCAGGCATGAGTGCTTGCCACCATGTCGTATAACTTCACTATAAATATGAATATAACCCTCAGTAGAACATATCCAAATTTCCTCTCTCTAAAGTGTATTGTGCAAAACCTCATTGTAACCTTCTCATACTTAATGACAATCAGACTACAGGTGTTCCTACCTAGAGTCCTCTCAGTCACTTTCTAGTTTTTCTGCACTTTTAATATCTAAACTTAGCAAACCAGCCTAGACCCGGTCAAGAATAGTTTGCCCTGATGGTAATTTATACTATCATTTCTAGTGCCACCCGTGGAACTGTTTGAATGTTTTTTCTGTGTAAGGAAATTCACTCACGAAGTATTGAGCAACCAAGTCAACTTGCCAGCAGAACACCGCTGCCAACTCCATTCACGAGCAGGTCCCCACTAGTGTTGTGACGGTGCCAGTCGTCACCTCCCACGCTATCTCTGCTGCAGTGATTCCGTTGGACATCAGCCATGTCATGACTCCTTCAGTTACTGCACCATCAATCAAACAGATGGTCCCATTCTCTTGAGGGTGACTCTTCCATCCAACATGGCGCAGTTTGTCAGTGACACAGCCAACCTGTAGGCGATTCAGGAGTTTGTCCAGGTCATTGCCATGTACCAACGAGCGGGGGAATGCCTTTCCTTCCAAGGATGTACCGCTTTGAGCTACCGGGCGTAGCGCAGGTGTCGGCGTAAGCTCCCATGCCTCCACGCTGCCTTTCCCATCCCCGGTGGCGCACCCATCTTTTCATTTCGAAAAATATCCAGAATTGATTCTACCTGACAATGAATATATTTATATTACATTGATGTGATTTTAAATTTTTATTTTACCATTTAAACTAGATATATATACTTATATTACTTACTCCCTTCGTCCCAAAATAAATTATCATATCTAAATAAAATGTAAAATTTCATATCTTTTAATGTCTTTTATTTATAAATTGGTATAAAAATGAGCAACACAACTTACATAAAAATTTAGTTAAAATGTATACAAACTAGAGCATGGTTAAAAATATATTTTTCACTCCCTCACAATATTTTTTGATTGGCGAAACATGTGTTTTTGGCCATGTGTGCAGCAATTGTCCCGTGGCGGAGGCTATGTAGGTCAAGTCACAATCGAATATCGTGGGCGCTTGTGAGATAAATGCACTATAAGGCTTGGGTATGCAGCTCTTCTAACACCAATTGGTTTTAGAAGAGTTGGTAATGCCTGAGGTCCTACAGTCTTTTGTATTGTATTTAATTTCACTCAAATTTTACCTAACTACATTTAATTTCACTCAATGTCAAGAAAGTTTTTAACCAAGTTGTATGATATTTGGTAATCCAATTATATTAATTATATTTTATATCAGAACAAAATATATTTTTCTTTTATAATTCGCAGTTCAAATTTATAAAATTTAACTAAAAAGATAAAATGGATGATATTTAGGGCAGAGCGAGTATAATTAGAAAATAAGATAATATGATGTGATGATAGATTGATAAATAATGCGATATGACAAAAATTGATTGATTAATTAAATTTTAATTCAAAAATAACATATATGCAAATATATTAGAAATCAAATTATACCCAAACTGAAATATATCTGAATCAAAATATATATCCCAACTGGAATGTATCCATAACCGAAATCAATCTGAAATGATTAATATCTGGACCGTATTTGAACTGGCCTGGAACCAAACTCGAACCGGAAAAGGTATGGAACCGAATCAAATTAAATCCAAACCAAAATAAAACTAAACCGATTATAACATATATCGAAAAGATATCTGAACCAAATTGTTCCAAACCGGAGCCGACCCAAATGATCCGATTATCACCTCTAGTTACACGTTGACCTTCCACTAGCATTTTAACTCGTGTGATAATACACATGGTTGAATAAAAGCACTGCCGATTGTTGCATTCTTAGAACTTGGAGTCTGAATTTCACTTTTGAGAAATTTACTTAAATAGGACTAAAACATAATGACTTTCCCAATATAGGACCATATGTTTTTATTTCCTAATGTAGGACCTTTGGTCATTATAAAGTAGTCATTATTCAAGTAAATGTCCATCATTACTGGACATTATTCCTCCCACTAGGTCATTATTAAGTCTTATTTAGGGAATAAAAAAGTTTAAGTCCTACATTGGGAAAGTCATTATGTTTTAGTCCTATTTAGTGCAAATTTCACTTTTATATAAAAGATAAAAGATTTTAAAGTAATAAGAAAATTCACGTGAATACTTCTAAAATGTGCAATTTTTAGATATTACTTCCAGATTTAACAAATTACATCTTTGCTGCCAAATTTCTTAAAAATTCACGTCACTACTCCTACTTAATTACTCAATTTGGGTAACTCTTACTAGTTTCGCTCATTGTATTCTTTCGGTTTAATTTTTTCGAATTAAATTTCACAAACTTTGGTGAGCAACTAAACAAATTAGTGATGTATATTAATAAAAAAACAAATTCGTTAGATTTATCTTATTGAAAGTTTTCAATATTTAATTTTATTGTATGAATATGTAATACAAATTGAGAATAATCGATAATTAGAATTTGTTTAATTTTAATACACGTTGAATTGGCAACTTAGAGGGTGTTTGAGAATGATTAGCTTATTGATAAAGTAATTTCTACAAAAACTGAAAGCAAAAGCACTTCATACCTGCTTCTCCGAAACGGTGTTCCATGTACAAAATAATGTTGGTGAAAAGCAGAAGCTGACATGCCAAACAGAATAAAATCACTTTCACTCAAAGCAGAAACTAAATTGTTAAAAGAAGCGCACTGCCAAACACCCTCTTAGAGAGTGTTTGGGACTGATTAACTTATGGATAAAGTGATTTCCACAAAAGCTGAAAGCAGAAGTATCCCCTACCTGCTTCTTCGAAACGGTGTTCTATGTACAAAATAGTGGTAGTAAAAAGCAGAAGCTTACATGCCAAACAGAGTAAAATACTTCTACTCAAAGCAGAAGCTAAATGATTAAAAACAATACACTGTCAAATAGCCTCTTAAGGTCTTTAAAGAAACCTAATTTCCTAGGAGTATTTCACTTTTCATCCAACTTCTTCTTGTTAATTGACGTTGGCATCGTTGGACACAAACATGATAAGCACATAGGCTCGGTTCAATTACGGCCAAATTGATGGTGTAGCCTGTGTGGTTTGAAAAATATGTAATAATATCGATTCTACTCTCAAAGTTTATCTTCAAAATACCCATGGTCTCAAAACATTGCTCATATCTTCCATAACCATTTTCTAATCATTTTTGGTCATCTCCGACAAAAAGGAGGAATTGATGCTTATTTTTCAAACCACAGAATGCACTAGAGCTCATTTCTTATTTTCCAATTACTATTTTTTGGTTTCTTTCCTTTTTTTAACTCTTTTTCCATCTCTTTGTTTTCTTTCTTTAGAAAAGTTTTTTCATTTCTTTTCCAACTTTTTTAAATAATGTTTTAAGAAATTAAAAATTCTTTGTGTTTCATATAAAAATAAAAAATTAAAGAGGTTACATATACTCCATCTATCCTAAATTAAATATTTTCAATTTATTGATTTCTAGAATAAAAAGAAAGGAAATTTCAAAAAAGAAAATCCAGAATAAAAAATAAGAATATGGAAAAAATGAAAAAATTGAAACATACAAAAATACTCTTATACAAAAAAGAACTTCAAAACGTCTAAAAAAGTCCTTAACATTGGGATGCCCATCCAAAAAATGAAATTCATTTCAAGTTTTTCTTTTATTTTAGTTTCTATTGTATTCCTCGTTTTTGAAATCCAAAAAAAAAAAAGTTTTAGTTTTTAATTTTCGAAAAATTAATAAAAAAGATGTTGTATATGTTATTAGTTATATTTTATTTCAAACAAACACAATTTTAAATTTTAAAAACATTATAAAACAAATTTAAAAAATTAAAGAAACCTTCATAGATAAAAGAAACAAATAAAATAAAATAAGAAATTAAAAATAAATGGAAAATTAGAAATGAACACTGATGCTCCCTATGATTAAGAAAATGAGTAGTGATTCCGTACACTCAAGGTCCACGTCTATTTCTTGAAACTTCTTACAAAAGTTGGACTTACTGACTAATTGGAAGGAGGCCCGTTTCACTCAAACTATAATATGCCTAAGTTACCCGTTTCGGTCCTAAGTATTTCGGTCCGGTACAGTTCAAACCTGAATAGATTTAGGTCTAGTCTTCAGTCCTTGATTTTATTGAATTCCGTCTTCGGTCCGGTCCGGGTAGGTCCGGTCTTGGACCGATGAACAGCCCTACCAAAGACGGATGGGTGATGTTATCCTATTAACCTAAATGTCACATAACTAATTTTTTATACCAAAATGATTTTATTCCAACCATACCATCCACCATAAGGTAGAAAAATGCATTAGAGCACCAAACATTTTGACTGAATAGTTTTTTTTCTAATAAAATTTAGTTTATAACTAATAAAAAACAATGGTATGGTTTGGCATTGTTATGACATTTTACCACACCATTCCGAAGCAACATGGTATCGAATGATTTTGTTCATTAAACGGAACCATACTGAACCATTTAAATAATAATAGTATCATACAAGATCTATGAAATTTTCAAATCGTCACGGACCGCACCCACTCCTACATAATATGAAAGGGGGTAAAATTTTGAAAAAGTAGAGGACCAAAGTTTTTACGCGGAATGGCACTCAAATACCTTTTGTGGCATTGACGCCGTGCTTCACCAAACTACTCACAAAGTCATTCCCATTTTCCTCGTAATGACGGGAGGAAAAGGCTAAAAAACACTTTCGTCTAAAAAGAAGATCTGCAACCCTCCCTGCATAAAAAGGGAAAACTCTAAGTAAAACAAATAGTAACGAAGATGATGGTGGTGATGGAAGATCTGTTGTCTAAACTTGGCGCCTCCCTCGCCACCCTCATGTTCATCTGGACATTGTGCCAGAACTATTTCCCGAACACATTCGAACATATTTGATTTCCCGATATCATATGATTTACAGCTACTTCTACCCATATGTCCACATCACCTTCCATGAGTTTGAAGCAGAGGAGCTCTTTGACAGGAGCAAAGTTTTCTTGGCTATTGAGAGGTATCTCGGCCATGTTTCATCTGGGAATGCCAATCGCTTCATTACGAAACCGGCGAAAGACAGTTTCCGGTCGGTGGTGCTCAGCATGGGAAACCACCAGGAGGTGGTGGACGTGTACAATGGGGTGGTTAAGGTGTGGTGGAGCTCTGTAGAGATAGCTTCCAATCGACAATCCATCACTTTCTATCCAAGGGAGGACGAGAAACGGTGTTTCCACCTCAAGTTTCACAGAAAGGATCGAGAGATGGTCACCAAATCTTACCTCCAGCATGTGTTGGCAGAGGGGGAGGCCATTCAGGTGAGGGAAAGGAAACTGAAGCTTTACACCAACAACAAGAGTGACGAGTGGCGGGGGTGGAGGAGCACCAAATGGAGCCATGTCGTCTTCAAGCATCCTTCCACTTTCGACACTCTCGCGATGGACTCAACCCGGAAGCAAGAGATTATAGACGAGCTTCTCAACTTCAGGGAGTCAAAGGAGTACTACGCCAAGATAGGCAAGGCATGGAAGCGCGGCTATCTCCTCCACGGCCCTCCGGAACAGGAAAGTCCAGCATGATTGCTGCCATGGCCAGTCTTCTGCAGTATGACGTGTATGATCTTGAGTTGACTGCTGTGAAGGACAACAGCGAGCTGAGGAGGCTGCTTATAGACACCTCGGGCAAGTCCATCATAGTGATTGAAGACATCGATTGCTCCCTCGACCTGACAGGGCAGAGGGAGAAAAAAGAGGAGGATGAAAAGGAGGAGAAACATCCAATCAAGAAAGAATTAATCAACAAGGATGTGCTAAAGAAGAAGGAGAGTGAAGTGACTCTATCGGGGCTTCTAAATGTCATTGATGGCCTCTGGTCAGCTATAGGAGAAGAAAGAATAGTTATTTTCACCACGAATCACGTTGAGAAACTTGATCCTGCACTGATAAGAAGGGGGAGGATGGACAGCCACATTGAGATGTCATATTGTTGCTTTGAGGCTTTCAAGGTGTTGGCAAAGAACTATCTGGATATTGGGGATGATTCTCACCCTCTGTTTCCAGAAATCAGACGTTTGCTGGGGGAAACCAAAACAACCCCTGCTGACGTTGCTGAGAACATGATGCCCAAATCTGCTCGGGAGAAAGCGGATGCATGTCTGGAGAGATTGGTTAAAGCACTGGAAACTGCAAAAGAAGAAGCACGGCTGAAAGAGGAGGAAGAGAAGAGAGTCAATGCTGTAAAGGAAGAGGAAGCCCGCAAGAAGAGGAAACAAGAGGCCGATGACCTGAAGAAAGCAGAGACATCGTCAGTTCAAGAAAATGGAGATGCAAAGGAATAGTTAATGCAGATGATGCATAGTGGAGATTTGATATGGTGTTCACCATGGCTTCTATTCTTTTCCACTTACATTGCAATGTTGTGTGTTTCTTTAAAAATATGAATCCTCTTACGGTTTTCCTTGGACCGGCAGGACAATAACTTGGAAATAGATAATTTGGAGTGTAACTCAAACTTACAAATAAAGAATGATATATGTACTCGGTACATCCAAGGGCGATAGCATGGTCTCCCTTCATCGTCATTGTGTTTCTGTGTGTGTGTGTGTGTGTGTTGCAATCTAGGAGATGAGTGAGCATAAACTCATGTTCAATTAGGCTTCTAATTGAAACTTTCCCCTCTCTTAATTGTGACCAGTAAAAATATCACTTCTCCCTTGGAGATTAAAAAAGACAAAGCACATAAGGTAACATGACATGAATCATCAAGGGCATTATACTCTAGCAGACACAAAACTGACACTTGTCGAAGATATCCATGTTGCAAAATGTTTTCTTTTCTATAAATGCTTTAGGGCTCTCAAAAGGGGCACAAGTGCACAACACAGGAAGTTGAGACCGTCTCGCCAAACTAGAGGGTTGGGAAGAATGGCATAAAATTAGGAGTTTTAGCCGCGACTTGGATAAGCCTCGGATTGTTCTGGTAAAAGAATTCAACATGAGGGTTACCCATATAACACACATTATTTAACAAACAAACAAAAAAATAACACTGGACTCTAGCCTCTCAATTTGACCATTTCACATTGTCTCCATTGTAACCAGTTGAATTGGTTCCTTGACACCATTGTAACCAATGTAATATTTATATCCTAGTAATGGTTACTGCTCTTGAAAATATAACATATCCAAAAGGTGAAATAACAATTCTAGATCATGAACCAAGGAAAAGTGTAATCCAACATTACTCTATCTTCTACAAATATCATCACTAAATTTTGAAAAAAAAAAACAGAAGGAGCTGTACTTCTCCAACTGAAACTGAAATCTGTTCTTCGTAGATGGTTTGTCCAATATTCATCTGAAATTGCCCTATTAATCGTAACCTAATAATCATATTCTTTGATTTAATTCAACAGATTAAATTGTAATGTGTAGTTATAATCAAACCCTATACCAAAAACGCAATAGCAAAAGAACCCTTTACTTTTTTTTACCAAATAATATGAAAATGAGAAGATGGGTATGTAACCCAGGGCTTTGAAATTGGGGGCTCTCAGCCTTCTATTAGCAACAAAGATGCTCGAAATAAGACTAATCCAGCAACCAACCTAAAGAAGGAAAATGGGCACCTTTCTTCTCTTCAAGACCGGAGTGGCAGGAGAGCGGGGAGACTCGTATGGAGCTGCCATTGACCAACGAGAAAGGAATACTCCTCAGAACCATTGGAGAGAAAAGAGGAAGAATCGTCAGCCATTGGAGAGAGGGGCTCAATTGAGAAAGGCATATACACCCTCCTTCCTATGATACCTTCCTATAATTCCTATAACGAGGACTTTATTTTTAATTCAATTTATTTGATTGTAGGTGTAAAATTAAAAAATAAAATTTATATATTTAAAAACTACATCAAAAGTTCTACAAAACAAGTGGTGACAGGACTATATTATTTTATCAAATACCTAATGAAAATAAGTAAAGAAAGTGATTAAAGTTTGACCGTGTGAATAGTAAGTGGGAAGAACATTTCAGGAGGAGGGAGTAGTATAGTACATTGCCAACTCACTCCAACCATTAATAAACAAAAAAAATCTACATTTTATCTTTGAAAGAGCTCTCAATCTGTCAATCCTTACTATGTCTCGACCTGTTAAGTTTCCCCGTGTTAAGTCAAATTAAGCCGCAGGCTCCACTCCTGGTGGTGCCCTTCCATCAATTCCTTTAAGTTTCAACCTTGCGACCATACCCCCCAAAACCCAAAAACTTTGATTTCTCATAAGGTGCCGGTAGAGTCCTAAAAGCAATATCCACCGATCTCTAGTCGACATCGTTTATAGTTGAGACTAGGACGGTATTTGATCTTAATAAAAAAACAAAAAAAATCAGTCCCTAAATAACACTAAAATATATAGGACTAGACATACAGAAAGTTTCAAAATAAAAGTTTATATTTTTATTCTATAAATACTTAAATAGAAATTCACATTGTGCTAATGTGGCACTATACATGTACATTTTATGTGATGTACATGGTAATGATTGATAATGTAAATGCATTTTAACTCCTAATTCAAAAATAAAAACATGTAATTCATATTTTTATATATTCTCAATGTTTTACTCATACTTTAGTCTTTTTTACAAGAAACAATTACTCTTAAACTTATAATATAAATTTATTTTTAAAAAATATTTTTAATTTGGTATTTAATTTCTTTAATAACTAAAGTAATTAAAAAATATTTTATTTGTCCCAAAAATGAATTTCACGAAATATTTTGGGCCAGAGGAAGCATAAATTATTTAAAATATCTAATTAGTACGATAACAACACAATATGATTTTATTGATTTATGCAAAACTACAATACTCTACATAAAAGAAAATACCAATACCAAGAAAACTTTAAAACAACAATAGTGCATAGAACAAAAAGATCCATTAATTGCTTCACAAAGAGTAAAATTTGGATTTTTGAGAGAATGAGGTTTAAATATGAGTAAAAAAACTTACTCCATCCCTTCTTGAGTATCTGTCTACTTTTAATTTTTTTTGATCAAAATTGATAAATTTTGTCCTCAAATTAAATAAAAATAATGTTTAATATTGATTCCAATATAGTTTTATTAGATTTATTATATCAAATATTTTCAAAATATTATTTTATGTAATTAATGTGTAATACACACTTTATTCAATTATAGGTCAATGATTGAAAAATAATTGATCGAAAAAGTCAAAACTAAACAAATGCTCAGGTACGGAGGTAGTATATGCTTTCTTTGTATATAAAAGTTGTAATTACGAGTATTAATTTAAAACAATAATTTTTTATGGATCAACAATAACACTTTGTATTACCATTATATATTGTATAGAAAAAATTGAATCACTTCGTTATAAATATGTAAGAAAACTAATTTCAAATAAAAATAATTGTTTGTCTGTGTTTGATGGGTTACTTTTTATAATATAAATTTAGATATACAATGTTTTTGTACATTTATCATCACAAGTTATGCAATACTCATTTCACACATTTATTTTTTCTTCATACATTAGGCATGCATAGAGATGATCAAAAGGATCGATGCGGTCAAACTAGACCGGTCTTTGGAAAAGACTGCTACAGTAAAGGACTGGATCAGACTAGTCTTTTTAAAAACCCGGTCCTAACTAGTCTGGTTTTTCTATCAAAATCAAAGACCAAATAAGACCAATAGTCCAATCTAGTCGGGTCGGTAGTCCAATCCGGTCTGGTCTCTAGTCCCAACATATTGGGTCAAGATTGCAATTTGCGATGTTGTGCCAGGGTACCAAACAGTCCATCAACTCTTTTCGCATCGGTCGAGATTGCATGTTGCACTTCGCTCGCTCAATCGCTGATTCTCTAGGGACTAGCTCTATTGCTTTAGGACAACGTGTTGTGACGTTTGAGTTTATCTTGAAACTCTAAGAAAAAACTTAGGGGATAGGGGAATCTGAGAATTATTAATCATTTCTAATTTGCACCGAGTATTACTCTATATTATTTTTTTAAGATTTTTATACGTACTACTCCGTATATACTACTCCCTATATACTCCATAATTTACAAGTAATATAATTAGACTCCAGTCTTTATTAGACCAATCTTTTACTAATCTCGGATCGGTTCAGGTCCTTAACATGTCTTTTACTAGTTATATACTAGTCATAGTCCTCTATAAATATTAAAAAACATTTAAGACTATTGGTCTTGAACTAGCATAGTCTCAAAGACTACTTCGATCCCAATTTTTCAAGTCCAAATCCTAGTTAGTCTCCGTCAATCTTTTCAGTCTTTGATTTTGTTTGCTAAAAAGAAACAAAACACACCATATCGCTATTTTAACACGGACTTTTTCTCGTGTTTTAAGTGCAAGACAACCCTCTTTTCCAGCTTTACCATTCATGCGCTTCGAAGATGACTTGGAAGAGAGGATCTAGGAAAAGAGATGTAGGCTTGGGAATGAGAAAAAAGTTTTGTGGTGGAGTCATTGCCTGATTTTGAGTCTAAAGGCACTTGAATTGTCTTCCAAGTTGACTTCGAAGACGATTCTGCATCAATGTCCTAATCTTGTTCTTCGGCAGATGTCTCTTCGTCTTCTTCGGATAACGTCCCCTTTTTATTATTCATTCCAACTCTCATTAAAATTAAATTATATCATACCGATTAGATTAGTTTTGATAAAAAAATAATTTTAAATAGAACTATTATCAAATCAATTCTTAACATAATCTAATACTCTACATCATACTCCCATTTGAATTTCAAATAAACTAGATTAATACCCGTACACGGTCAATGTTTTATCAAAAATATAAAAATAAGTAATGGTATAATATTTTAGTTTGAATATATAAATTATATATAGTTCAAAATAATATAAACCTATTTGAGTTAGGGCCTGTTTGGGAACAGCGTTAGCGTTTTGAAAAAGCTATCTACGGGCAGCGTTTAGCGTTAGCGTTTTGAAAAAGTTATCTACGGGCAACGTTTTCAAAGTAATCTGCACCGTTAAAATTTTATCCAAAACGCTAACACTAATCAGTAACGCTATTCCCAAACAGGCCCTTAGTGATGAAAAGTATAAACACTATTTGAGTTAGTGATGACTGATGAGAATAATTATAATTCTCTAAAAAACACCATAAAACAAATATAATCTTTCCACAACAAACAATGATTTCTAACAAACAATGATTTCTTTGAAACAAAATCTCTTGATTTTTTATTCCAATTTTTAAAATAATACTCCCTCTGTCCACCATAGATCTTCCGAGACACTATTCACAGGGTCAAACTTTACTCACTTTGTTTGTTCAATTTTACTAGTCATTTCATAAAATAATATAGTCTTGTCACCTCTAGTTTTATAGAACTTTTTATGTAGTTTATTACTATATAAATTTTATTTTAAAATTTTACTCCTATAATCAATTAAATTGAATTGAAAATAAAGTCGGTCAAGCCTCGTAACACGTAATGGGAAGATCATACATGGACGGAGGGAATAATAAGTTACTCTTGCTTTTATTAGTCTACTTTTAAAATTAAAAAAAAACTCACTCTATCTTAAAGTGTATAAGAAGTTTGAATTTTCACAATCAACTATGCTTCATTTTTTACCTATAGTTTCAATCAAAATAGATCTACAGCGACTCAATTATTGTTGGAGTTCCCATATTTAAAAACAAATAGAAATAACACTAACATATATAAAAGGATGAAATCTTATTTATTAGCTTAAACTTCGGGCTAATAGCACGGGTAGGGGTGTATCCCGTTATTTACAAAAGAAATGCCAAAATCTCCTCTATTTTCAAAAAGGATTTGTAAAATTTTTGTGGTTTGTAAACTATGCACAGACGTCCCCCTTGCCTATTTGTAGAGTTAAAATGACATTTCTGTCCTTTCTTTTCCTCCATCTTCAAGATTCACTCTTTTATTTTCAATTTTCTTTATTATACAAATAAATAAAATAAAACATATGCCCTCTTTTTAAAATTAAGAATTTTCATTTATTTATTTTTAAAAACAAATTTTCTTTTTTAGAAAACGTTACCAAAGAAAATGAAGAATAAAAAATGAAATAAAACACTTTTTTATTATAGGTAAAAGTAAAATAAATAAAATTAAAAAAGTAGATAACATATACTCACTCTTTCTCTAATTAAAAATTCAAATTATTTATTTTTTAAAAGTAAAATAATTTTTTAAGTACTTTATAACAAAGAACAAAAAGATGAAACAAAAGACAGAGTAAAGGAAATAAATTGTTTTTTATTTTTTTCTTTCTTTTCATTACCTTTTTCAATTATTTTTTTCTTTTACTTCATACATACTCCATAATATTTTATTTCATTGTTTCATTTTTCATTTGTATTTGTAACATTTTCTATAAAAATCTTTTGATTTCAAAACTACATAAATGAAATTTTTTAATTTGAGAGGGGAACATATATTTATACATGAGTAATTTACTTAAATAGAACTAAAATATAATGACTTTCTCAAAATAGGACCATATGTTTTTATTTCTCAATGTAGGACTTTTGGTCATTATTAATTAGTCATTATTCAAGTAAATGTCCATCATTGATGTGCATTATTCCTTCCACGAAGACATTATTAAGTCCTATTTAGGAAATAAAAAAGTTTAAATCGTGAATTAAGAAAATCATTATGTTTTAATCATTAAGAAAATTTCACTTTAGATTTGTAATTGTGGTCGGTGTTATGTCAAATCATGTCAAATCACTAGAAAGCGTGGGGGAACATGTCAAATCACTGAAAGCGCGGGGGGACAATTTCATCGCACGGAAACACAATAATCATTCCCATTATCCTAGAAACTACGGTGGACGGAGAATAAGGCCGAAAACACTTCCGTATAAAAAAGGCAAACTCTAGCTGCAAGTAAACAACAAGAGAGCAAGCAAGTAAGAAAGAAGAAGGGAGATGGAGATGGTGATGGAAGATGTGTGGTCTAAACTAGGGCCTTCCCTCGCAACCTTCATGTTCATCTGGACATTGTGCGAGAAATGCTTCCCAGAACGCCTCCGGGAATATTTCACTTCCCGCTGTAAAAAGATGTACACCTTCTTCTTCAACCCATACGTCCAAATCACCTTCCATGAGTTTGAAGCAGAGGAGCTCTTTGACAGGAGCAGAGTGTTCTTGGCTGTTGAGAGGTATCTCGGCCACATTTCCGCCAGGAATGCCAACAGCTTCATCGCGAAACCGGCGAAAGACAGCTGCCGGCCGGTGGTGCTCAGCATGGGGAACCAGCAGGAGGTGGCGGACGTGTTCAACGGGGTGGTTAAGGTGTGGTGGAGCTCTGAACAGATCACTTCCTCTCAACAGTCCTTCTCTTTCTTCTATCCAAGGAACGACGAGAAACGGTGCTTCCACCTCAGGTTCCACGGCAAGGATCGGGATGTGGTCATGGAATCTTACCTCCGGCATGTGTTGGCAGAGGGGGAGGCCATTCAGGCGAGGGAAAGGAAGCTGAAGCTTTACACCAACAACAAGAGCGACGAGTGGCGGGGTTCCAGATGGAGCCATGTCATCTTCAAGCATCCTTCCAATTTCGACACTCTCGCCATGGACCCAACCCGGAAGCAAGAGATCGTAGACGAGCTTCTCAACTTCAAGGACTCCAAGGAGTACTACGCCAAGGTAGGCAAGGCGTGGAAGCGCGGGTATCTCCTCCACGGCCCTCCCGGAACAGGAAAGTCCAGCATGATCGCCGCCATGGCCACTCTTCTGCAGTACGACGTGTATGATCTCGAGCTGACCGCCGTGAGGGACAACAACGAGCTGAGGAGGCTGCTTATAGACACCGCGGGCAAGTCCATCATTGTGATCGAAGACATCGATTGCTCGCTCGACCTGACTGGGCAGAGGGAGAAAAGTGAGGAGGATGAAGAGGAGGAGAAAGATCCAATCAACAAGGATTTAATAATCAACAACGGTGTGCAGAAGAAGGAGAAGAAGAAGAAGGAGAGTGAAGTGACTCTGTCGGGGCTTCTAAACGCCATAGACGGGCTCTGGTCAGCTATAGGAGAGGAAAGAATCATAATCTTCACCACGAATCACGTTGAGAAACTTGATCCTGCGCTGATAAGGAGGGGGAGGATGGACCACCACATTGAGATGTCATATTGCTGCTTTGAGGCTTTCAAGGTGTTGGCAAAGAACTATCTCGACATTGGGGACGATGATTCTCACCCTCTGTTCCCAGAAATCAGACGTTTGCTGGGGGAAACCAAAACAACCCCTGCCGACGTCGCGGAGAACATGATGCCCAAATCTGCTCGGGAGAAAGCGGACGCGTGTCTCGAGAGATTGGTTAAAGCACTGGAAACCGCAAAAGAAGAAGAGAAGAGAGCCAACACTGTCAAGGAAGAGGAAGCCCACTGCAAGAAGAAGAAACAAGAGGCCAATGACCTGAAGAAATCAGAGACCTGAGATGGTGTGTATGTTCACCATACTCTTTTCTTTTTTCACTTATGTTGTAGTGTTGTGTTTTTCTTTAAAATTATGAGTCCTCTTACGGTTTTCACTTGGACCGGCGAGAGAGTGACTTGGAAGTAGATTAATTGAGGTATGACTCAGACTCATAAATAAGGAGTGATGTATGTACTCGGTACATCCAATAGCTCCATGCATAGCATGGCCCCGCTTCATCGTCATTGTGTTTTTTTAAGAAATATATATTCAGCCCGCTTCATTTGTGTCGAGAGTATATCAGCTTTTATATTCGGGCAAATTTTGCTTATGGTACCCAAAGGTTAGGTATATAGTTTGAAAAGACTTAGTAGACAAAGAATCCACAAGCTTGAACTTAGGAAAAGCAGCAAAACAATGGCAAAAGTTAAAGCAAAATCTCTTTCAAAGGCTTTACATGTTGGGTATCCCTCCTACAAGTAAGGAGTTCCTAATCAATATATTTAGTGTTAAAATATATTTCCTTCATCCCCAATTTGATTACAATTTCGATAACATTTGTTTGTTTACGCGATGTCATTAAGTATTTGATAAAATAAAATATTTTTGTCACATCTAACATAGTTTTTTAATACTCCGTATATAATTTTTATTTCTTATCGATATACCAATTTATAAATAAAATGATTTCAAAAGTGAGATATTTCTCCTCGTAAACCACAAATTGGGGACGGAGGGAGTAATTAGTTTAGAAGTTAGATAATATTATAAGGAGTAACAATCATAATACTCCATCCGTCCCAAATTATAATGCATGTTCACTATTCACATGGTCAAACTTCATTCACTTTCTTTCTCTATTTTCGTTAATAATTTGATAAAATAAAGTACTATTATCACTACTAGTTTTGTAGATCTTTTGATATAGTATTTTAATATGTAATTTTTATTTTTTAATTATATATCATTTGTCATATAAAATGATTTGAACATAATTTCAGTCAAACATCGTAAACCGAAACATGGGTTATAAAATGGAACGGAGGATATAATATTTACTATTATTATAAAGAAAGAAAAAAAATCAATGATGGATGGTGGGGGCTGCCACCTCTATTGGTGGACTTTTCAAGTGGCCCCTTGGTGGTTTTTTACGGATAGAAAGCAGCCCACAGGAAGGAAAATGCTAAAAACCTCCACCTTTGCTATCACCCATGCCCCTCTTACATAAACATGTGTTAGGGAGGCAAGAAAATTAAAATTAGAGGGTGGGTGGAGAATGAGTAGAGATAAATATGTGGTGAAGAAGTAGGTAGAGGCAAGATTGGTAGCAAGGGTGGGAGGTGTGTAGCATGGTCCCCACATGACAGGGAAGAAAAGAGAGAGAAGCGAGACAAATAGAGGTCCAGCCCTGATTTTGTGCTTCGATCCACGGCCAAACAAACTTCGATTGGGATAAAATTTTAGTATGTTGTTCCTAATATTCTCTTCTTCATATCCAACGATGGGATTATTGTTTTGAGCTCTCGATGTCAGTAGAATCGTATATGTTTACTGCTGCATTTTTGTATGGGTTTTCTCACTTTTGAGTGAAGATTATTCTCGTTTGGTGTTCCAAGTTCTTACTTGATGTCTGTGTGAACCTCTAATTGTTTGATAGGCTTCTTGGTTGTACCCACTGGCCACTGGTTTTCTTGGTGATTAGTGGAAGGCTTCGTGTTTTTTTCGATTTGAGGTTTCCACATTAAATCTTGATAATCATTTGTCGCTTGATTGATTGCTTGTTGTGTTTACTATTCTTGATGGGTCATATGTTTTTTGCCCATTTTGACAACATAAAGATGGGAAAATTATTAATTGCTTACGCTAGAAAATTGAAGTGATTTTTCCAAACATTACAGTTCACATGCACTTGTAAATAGGGGTGGACACGGTACGGTTCCGGTTCCGGTACCGCCACCCCTTGGTACCAGTACCGTGACCGGACCAGGCGGTACTGGTTCCGGTACCCGACTGGCCAGTTTCGGCCACCCCTTGCTTTTCTTTAAAATTTTTAAAGTGTAAAATTATAAATATGCAATTGTTAAAGGAAAGAATGAAATAAAAAATCTAAAAATGTAGTTATTATTTAAATATTGTAAAATGAGTAATACACGAACTGAAGAGCAACTACATTTAATATCCTGTCGGTTAGAATGTTGCCGCCAGCACTGGATTCTTGTTCCACTGCTACGGTTGATACCGGGATGGACAACACTTGTCTTGCTAGCATTCCGAGACATGGGAACATGTGTTCGTTCCGCTTCCACCATCCGAGGACGTCAGACTCCACGTCGTCGTCGTCGTTGTCGTAATCGCATGGCACCTCTTGGTACATAGCAAGTTCGTTGTGCGAGCTTATTGTTGTACCACTTGAACTCGTCGAAGGCTGAGCACGCTTCCATTTCTTTGCAAGAAGCCCACCGACTATTCCTTAAAAACCTTTTTTTGTTTTGGGGGCGGAGGAGGTGTTGTTTCTTCTTGTACAGTACCGTATAACCCTTGATATTCCTTAAACAAATCCTCAAAAAGAGTTATAGCATTATCTCTTTCATTTTTCCATTCTACTAAATAGCTGTAGTAATAACTATTTTTATCTAAAAAACAACTGTAGTAATACTCAATTAGAATTTTAAAATTTTCAATCTTAAATCGTGGATCACAAATAATACATATTTTATAAATATAAGGAATGTACAAATAATAAGTACACCATTTATCTCTCATAGGAGAGACATAAGGGTACAAATCTGGATCAGCCATACTTTCAC